TAGGGGATAAGACCTCCGAGAAATGTCAAATTAACTCTGGTATCTTGTCAGGCAGAAACGGTTCAGAGTTAGAAATAAATATTCATTATTGGAATGTAAAGGATAATTATCAAAAGCAATAATCCTGCATTCAGATTCCTATTAAATTTTTCCTAAAATAATGAACAAGTATCCCCTGTTGGAATTATTTAAGTGTTACTGATGTTAAATATAACCCAAAAAACCTATAGTACTGAGAGATGAAACTAAAATATGTGGGGAGCACAAATGCTTTATATTTTATTAGCTGATGTAAATAGTTTAAGCTGGGTGCTTAAATAAGCAATATTATTGTAGAGTGTCAAGATAATGCTACTAAATTGTATAAAGCTACTACAGGTGCCCATTGTCATGCGTTTTTGTTATTTGACCCGTCCCCTGTGTGTTATGAATTTTTCCTGCATGTAAACGGTCTGGCAGGAGTCATCCAAACCGCAACGTACACCAAAAACCTGTAACGCGTGCGACGTACCAAAACTCTAACAATAAAGAAAAAATGACCTGTCTATGCTGGCCCCGGGAACGCCCTCGTTGGAAGATTTCTCTTTTCCAGTTTTTTTACTGATTCCTTACAGTACAGTGACTGTGCACTAATACCGTGAACCCAGCTCACACTGTCCCTCCGCTCGGCAGTCACCATAGCAGCCGAGCCCCGCAACGCCCCGCTAACCACGGCACCCAGCACTCCACTAGGCATTCTCATTCGGTTTGTACATTACTGGTGTACATTTTTCTGGTGCTACAAATCAGCCCATTGAACACTATAATCATCGCATGTTCAGCATCAGTATACAAGTGGTGGCAACTCGATCAGAACAGAGATGGGGTTAGTCGAGACTGACCATATCAGAAGCTACAGTGGGACCTCACAGTGAGGGGGAAGGGGGGGGGGGGCAGGAGCTCCATACAAGCCGTTTTAGGACAGAGGAGTGAAATACACTTTACTATTCACCTTATATCAGAGATGCTGTATGAAAGAAACCAATGTGCAGTTTTGAACATGGCACAAATGTTAGAAATAAATACATTATCTGTAGTATACACTCACAATGAGATGTTGCAATTGTGTTGCTAAGCGCTTCACAAGTTACAGAAATGGATAATCACACTATATTTAAATAATTCTTAAACATGCTCTTGAGGAAAACTATTAACTCATGACAACTTACTATCTCTCATATATAAAT